AGTTTGGTTACATTGAATCATGCTTGTTTTCAGGAACAAATACCATTCAGGCATGGTGTGCAGTCCTGTTACTATGCTGAATTAAGTTTGCTCTTATTTTATTGAGAATTTTTACATCAGAGTTCATAAGGGATATTTGTCTACATTGTTCTTTCCTTGTAGTATCTTTTTTATCTTTGGTAGCAAGGTACTGCTGGCTTCACAGGATGAGCTAGGAAGTGTTCTCTCCTCTTCAATGTTTTGGAATAGTTACAAAAAGATGCTTGATTGGTGCTAACTCTTTGTTTGGCAAGATTCACCAGTGAAGCCAACTTGTTAAGGATATTTCTCGTTGTGATAGCTTTGATTACTGATTCTATTTCTTTACTGTAGATCTACTTAGATCTAATTCTTTGTGATTTAGCCTTGTTAAGTTTTATGTTAGATTTGTCCATTTTATCTAGGTTATCCAATTTTTCAACACACAACTGTTCATAATATTTTCTTAATTTTTTTTTCTGTAGAAATGGTAAGAATGTCCTGATTTTAATATCTGATTTTAGTAATTTCAGTCTTTTTTCTTTTTTTTCTTCGTCCATCTAGCTAAGAGTTAGTCAATATTGTTGATCTTTTCAAAGATGTGGCTTTTCATTTGTATATGGTAAAGTTAGGCTCTTTTTTTTTTTTTTTGGATGGGACTGGAGTTTGAACTCAGGGCTTCCTGCTTGCTAGGCAGGCACTCTACCACTTGAGCCACACATCCAGCCAAAGTTAGGGTCTTCATTTGAAATCTTTCTTCTAATGTATTTCTGCTATGTTTGAATATCCTAACACTCTTTTCTGTGTACTGTAAGTTTAGTTTTTTGTGATTTTATTTTCTTTTACCTTTAAGTAATTCCTAATTTCCTTCATGATTTATTCTTTGATCCATTTATTATTGCAGAGGTTTTTTTTATTGTTGTACTGACATACATTGTGACATTTACAAAAGTTCTTATCATAGTTGAATTCACCTCCTCCATTATTCTCATTAGTAACCCCTCCCCCATTAGTGGAATAGTTTAAACAGGTCTTATTTTCCAATTTACATATATATAATATGATATAAATTTCCACCATATTCACCTAGAGTTTTGTTTAATTTATGTAAGTTTGGAAATTTCCCAATGTTATTTCAATTACTGATTTCTAATTTCATCTCATTGAAGTAAGATAAGTTACTCTGTATAATATCATAATATCTATCTTTTTTTTGTGGTATTGTGTCTTGAACTAAAGGCCTACACCTTGAGGTACTCCAAAAGCCCTTTTTTGTGAAGAGTTTTTTTCAAGATAGGATCTCATGAACTACTTGCCTGGGCTGGCTTTGAATGGTAATCTTCCTATTCTTTACCTCCTGAGTAGCTAGGATTACATATGTAAGCCACTTGTGGCCAGCAATATCTATCTTTTAAGACCTACATAGATAGTCAACAATATTGAAATACATTAGATCTGTACAAGCAGAGGATACAAACAATAGGTATTGAAAGATGCTGAATGATGGGGAGTAGGAGAAAAGAGGTAACAGAGTAATAAAAGGGTTTGCACTGTTCAAAGTAAAGTATGCTCACAGCAGGAATACTTTAAGGAAACCTCTTTGAACATTGATTTTTTGGAAATAATAATGAAAAACAGGACTGAAAATAGGCACAGTGTGTGTAGGGGTAGTATTTATGGGATGGGGGAGGGTGAATGGAAGAGATGAAGGTGAGGGCATGTGGTTTATGGGCTTCATATACATATATGAAATAGAATGATGAAAGCTCTTGCAATTGCTTTAAATGGAACAGGGAGGAATTTGCAGGGGAGGGGGGGTGTTGGTGGAGGATAGCTAAGCAATGTACAATGTAAGACTATCCTGTACAACAAATATACCCTAATAAAAATGGAGAAAAATCTACTTAGAGTTAATTTGTGGCCTAACACGGGGTCTATACTGAAAAATGTCCCATGCGCACATGGGGAAGGTGTTTTTATTTATGTATATTAGATCTAGTTGGTTTATTATTCGAAGTCCTTTTTTTGGATTTATCTTCTGTCTGGATATTCTAAGAATTTTTGATGAAGTCACCAACTATTTTTGTAAATCTGTTTCTCTCTTCAATTCTGTGAATTATTATTATTATTATTTATCATTATTATTGTTGTTTGTGTGGTACTAGGGTTTGAACCTGGGCTTCATGCTTTTAAGATAGACACTCTACCAACTGAGCTATGCCTCCTGTCCTTTTTTGCTCTGGTTAGATTTTTTGGAGACAGGGTCTCAGTTTTTGCTTAGGCCAGCCAGACACTCAATCCTCTTGTTGTCCCTGGGATAACAGGTATATCCCACTATATCCAGGTTTTTTTCTGTCAACAGGCATAAGCAACTGGTTTCAGCTCAATTCTATCAGTTTTGTTTCATAAATTTTGATGGTGAATTATTGGATGAATAAATGTCTATTATTTTCCCAATCATCTCATGGTAATAGAATTTTTTATTAATAAATAACATTCTTCTTTGACTCTTGAGACTGATATTAATGTATCTACCCTTGCACTCTATTTGCACGAAATATCTTCCATCCATCTTTCACTTTCAGTCTTTTAATATATTTGTATCTTAAGTACATATCTTTACATTGTCTTCCTTTACATTGATCTTTATAGAAAACCGTTTAAATTTCTTTCTAATTTCCTTTTCTATGTATTCTATAAAAATATTATATTTATATTATATTATTTGTGGTAAATGCAATGCTAATTGTAAGGGAATTATACTTAGTATCTTAAAGTTACAACATTAACTTGTTTATCTTCAATAACAAGTTAGTCGTTCATGTCAACAAATTGCATTTTTATACTTCATGTACCTGAAAACATAAACCATTATGTATTTTCTATGCATCATTCTCTTAAATTGTGTGAAAAACATAATGTGCATTCACAGTGTTTTTGTAATCATAATGTGGAGCCCAAATAACCAGTTTCAAATAATAAATCATATATATCATGTTCAAAATCTCTCAATATTTAGGTATGGTGACAAAATTTCTATAATTATTATGTTTGGTTATGCAGTATTTAGAAAGAATATTGAACATCATTTTCATAACATGGTCATAGTGAAAATCTATTTTGACTAAGAGTTAAATCTACAAAAATGTGAGTGTTAGACTCTCAGCTGAAAAATCTCTACAATTGTCATTTATATCAGAATGTAATTTTTACATATTTTAGTATTGCATAAGTCATTTTATATTTTTCTGCTTTTTCATAGTAATAATAGATACTTGGAAAAATACAATTTATGTGATCATTACACAGCATTTGAACATTTCATTATCAATCCTTTCTATTAGTTCCAAATTTGATATTATTTTCTGAGGTGGAAGTCTATGAATAATAAGTGATGTTGGCCTTCCCACTTTTGAATGTCTAGTAGGTAATATAAATTCAGTGCTTTACGTCTCTAGTTAATCAGAATTTAAAGACCAACCTGATTATTCCTGAAACATATATCTAATTTTAAACTGGTGGCAAAAAGACTTGATCGTCTCAAACTAAATACCTATAATTTTCACTGGCCTATTGTGCAGTGGAAATCCAAATAAAATCAATCTAGTCAAAAGCCAGCAGCCTCAAAATCTGAGGCAAAACAGATAAAATGTACAACTGTTTATTCTCACAACAGGTGCGGGACCATTGAATTGGATATCCATGATTAAGCATGTGAGCTTGGAAGCCTTAGAAATTTTAGGTAGAATACCTTACCATACTTTTAATCATGATTGCACTGTTCATTTTCACATGAGAAACTGAACAATTAGACTGATTAATCATTGTGAAATTTTAACATCGAAGGTATCAGAGTCTTCTAACAGAAATTATTTCATTCTCTTATTTGTGATACTCAACACAAATCCTAACAGGCAATAAATAAATGAATGTAAGATGTGTAGATGAATTATTGGATATATGTATGTATTATGAATTTATGTTAAGTTGTTAAAAATTTAGAATTAGAATAAGAAGTTCTAACTTTGAACTTCTCACACTTTTTTGTGGTTTTATTCACGAATCAAGATTAGAGGATCAATTTCAAATAATATTGAATCAAAAAATTCTCTGTAAATATAAAAAACGATTTGGCTCCACTGTCTCTAAGACATTTTCATAGTAAGCAGGTACATATAGCTCTTCACCTGCCAAGTTCTGTGGTAAATGCTTGATGTTTATAATTCATCCAATATTTCACAAAACTTTATAAGACATATGCAGTTCTTGTTCCCATTTAACAGTCTAGGCACATTCTGTAAAGCTAGCTTAAGCTTATTTCCTCTGAGCTGAGAGCAGTAGATCACAATATCCAGTCTCAGGTTCTGAAGGCAGACCCCTGCGTTGAAATTCCATGTCACCTACAAGTTTCTGTGCAACTGAATTTGAGTAAAGTAGCCCAATCTTGAGAAGAGCAGAGGCTGAAACAGTTGGTGGCTCAGACTGGAGGTGTTCAGCAAGCAGATCATGGACAAATCACTGTGGAATGATTTCTAGACCTTGTTTCCTTGTCGTTGACTGGTGTGCACAGTGCTGGTTTTGCTACTACCTAATAATTCTAAGAAACCTACATTTTTTAGCAAAACCTACCTTTGTCTCAGCTTTTGTTAAGAATAAAAAAATGAAAGACTTGATTCTGGTTCCATAATGACAACTAGGAATATTTTAATTGGCTTTTGACTAGCCTCTTCTTTCTTGGAACAGAATAAGTAAGTGCAAAGATCATTTATTTGTATGTAGCTATGTTAATATGAGGTATTCATGAATCTAAATAATTTCCTAATTCACCAGATGCAAGGAATAAAATAAGAGTGTTTTCTAGTTATCCAAGAATGAAACACATTAATGACGATAAAATGGCAGAGTAGAAGCCTTGTATAGACTATCAGATTGATGTAAATAGTATTTAAAGTGTCACTTTCAAAAGTAGCAATTATTCATACCTGAACAACTTTTTGTGACTGCACATCAACAATCAGGACTCTGTCCAAAGTTGGTTGGGCAACATAAATGAACTTGTCTTTGACATTAACAGCTGAGGCCCAAACACACCTCTGGATTTCATCTTTCTCCACTTTGGGACAGACTTCATCCTACAGTTTATAAAATAGAAAATTAAATTCATATCTTAAATTATATCACAGGCAAAATTAATATTTGGTGCTTTATTACTTTCTATATCAAATGCTTTATATATATAAATATGGGATATATATAAAAATGGAATATATAAATATGCAATATATATATATGGAAAGGGTTCAATAAAACAGTATATAGATTATACTTAACTTTATTAAAAGTGTATAGAAATTGATGGGGATGTAATCCCTCTAAGATAAATTTCAGGTCACTAATTACTGATTTTTCTGGTGAAATATGATCTTTTCATTTTTTACTACCTCTTTATAACTCAACAACTTCAGAAAAATGTTAAGTCCAATATTTTATTCCAAATTCTTCCATTCTCAATCTTTTTTAACAAAACAAATGTCACACACTAAAGTATGTTCAGAGCTTCTCAAAACATTAGTGGCTGCCCCCATGAACACAGAAGTGGTTTTCTAAAAAGTCACCAAGTCTTCTGGAAATGATTACAGTCCTCTAGTTTGTAGTGAATCAGAAGCTTTGAGATATGTAATTCACAGTGTTATTTGATTTTTTTAATTTGGTATCAAAATCAAATTTTACAAAATCTTTTCATCTGTCCAAGGACATTTATTTTGCTTCTTCAGTCAAAAATGGCTATCTGCTCGAACATTTTATGGTTTGTATTAGATGGTCGTAAATGAGGAAGAAAACAGTCCCTATTCCTTTCTTGCTTTATCTTGTCAATAAATGATTGTTGAAGGGACACATAAGCTTTTGTGATTCATATCAGGGAACACATTATAAGCAGGAGAGAATAAAAAGTGTCACTTAGCTCACCATTCATATTTTTGTGCTTTGCTTTTATTCACTAGTGATCCTCACAATTTACTTATAGTTACCAAGTTCACTAAGAAGAAAGATTTCCTGAACTGTTCATAGAGTGTGTAAGTGTGCATAAATGGGTATTTGTGTAATGATGGTAATATAATAATAATTATTCTAGTGCTTTACTTTGCTTACTTTATTTAGCTCCTGTCATCAATAACTAATGTATAATCTCTTTGATTTTTACACTCTTGTTATTATTTCTTAAACTAAATTAGAATAACATTCCATTTTGTCTCTAATTCATATAAAACATTAGTTTTTTTAGCAGAAGTCTTATTTACTGTGTGTATTTAAGAATCATGAGGCAAATCAATAGTAACTTTCATTATCACTAAGCAATAATTTTTATTTTTATTTAAAGATAATTCTAACAACAGATATACCACATTTGATATTTAGAAATTATATTGAATACCTAATAATGTACACCTTCTCAGACTGACCATTTTTTCAATTTGCATTAAGGTTTGAGAAATAATGTAAATACCAGAGCATTTTGGAATAGGAGAGTTTTAGTCCAATGTTTATGTTTTCCTAAAATCTGATCTAATTCTGGGAGGACCTAGAATAATCACTATTTTTGAAGATTCAGTCCAGCAGAGTCTCACAACCCTGGTGTGTAAACAGAACCAGTTGTGGCTCACAGGGCACGAGCAAACTAAGGGCTCCATGTGTGAATCATTCAGCTAACTCTGGATTTTAGAAATGAATTCCTTTCCACAAACTGTACCATAACCACTTCATGGCAGTGGCTAATGGGCTCAACCCAAGAATATCCACAGCAGCTTTAGGGTGACACACATCTGTATGCAGAAGTCTGTCTGCAGTACCTGCTCAGAAGTGTTGAAATTTCATTCACCAGTTCCCACTGAAACAATTTTTTTCTATGGCAACTTTTCTTAAGAAGTATACTGAATGTGGTTGACAAGAGCCTATTTTGTAAAAAACAAACACTACAGAAAGTATGTACTTGAGAAGCATGAAGCGGTAAGAAAAAAGAGGGATCTAAGGTTGATGACAGGCTCTGAATATAGGGAAATTGTTTACAAGTTCCTTGTTGTTGTGTAAAAACTCCTGACTAAACTTGCCAAAACAATGAAAAGTGTGAGTGACCTGACAGTAGCTGTCAGCCAAACAACTGCTGAACCAGGAGCAATCCTCACCCCTTGGTTTGCTACAAAACTACCGAACAGTAAAATAAACTGCTCTGCTGGGAACTATTTTCTATCTGTATGCTGTCCCCATAAGGCATCCCTGACCAGGCTTACAACCATTTTTACAAAGCCAGTAAACATCCTCAAAATCATCCTGAATTTCCTTTGGTTTGCTGTATGTCATTATTTCTAATCATAGTCTATTAGGTCCCTTTATATAATAGCACTTATTTTTCAGACTACATAGATTAATATTTATTTATGTGGATGGCAGTTGTAGAGAAATTTTGTGCATGTGCATTAGGCACTTAAAGAGAAAGAAGTAAAAAATACCAGAGCTAAAAATAAGATTAAGATAATATATGCTAATGAGGATGTTTGTCAATACGAATAAGATGAAGGAAATTCTAGTTCATAATTAGAACTTATTCCTGTTGAGTCACGTCCATATAAAATAACATATTTGCTGAATAGCTATTACTACTTCCCCAAATTCTGAAGTGCTATAAGGTGTACCACTCCTGATTTTATGTTTTAATTTTTCAATTATAATAACATTAATTTTACCTGAATTGCTAAACTAAGTAGCCAAAGAGAAAAATATATCTGCTTACCTCCTGTTAAGACTCTGCAACTTTTATTTATTATACTGATTACCCATTAAATGCTTTGTCATCAAATCTCCAATTTCCCACCTGTCTTTCCTGGTCGTAGCATCTCCTCTTAGCATATCCTCATCATTCTAAAGACAAATGCCACTTCTGCAAGCACCTTCATTTCCTTGCCTCCAACTCAACAAGTACCTATCATGTCTTCTTGGTCCTGTCTCTAACCATAGCAGAACTGTCCAGGGTCCCTGCTCCAGTAAGCCTGGCACTGCATTCATTTATAACTGCATTATATCTGCAAGAGTTCATGCAAGCACCTTGCCCTCAAACTTGAGAAACATACTATTAAGCAACTGTAATTGTAGTCATGTACTTTCCACTCCCATCATCTAGTTTTCTTCAAATTTTGTAGAATGTGGGCTGGGGATATAGCTTAGTGGTTTAGTGTTTGCCTTGCATGCATGAGGCCCTGAGTTCAATCCCCAGTACCACAAAAAAAAAAAAAAAAAAAAAAAATTTTGTAGAATGTTATTTCTATTTCCTGACCTTTCACTCTAAACTCATCACACCTCAAACTAGCTTTTGTTATATCATCTCCTCTAAACCTGGTGTGTGCAAAGTCACCAGTGACCTCAGAATTTCAAGTTACTAGCTTTCAGTTCTTCCTGGGAATAATTATTTACTGGTTGAAGGGTGCCATGGAAAGCTGTGCTTTGGAACAAAGCACAAATATAAGAGCATGTGGATTTCTTGTGAAATGTTCTTTTATCCTTGTATGGCAGCAATCAGCAAATTAGTGCTGCAAGACCAAATTCTACTATTTATTTTGGGATGATCCAGAAGCTATGAATGTTTTCTTTATCTTTCAGTGATTGAAAAAACAGGAATAAGCATACAGTTTCATGACATGTAACCAATACATGACATTCAGATTTATATAAATAAAAGTTTATTGGAGCAGAGCTATACTCATTCATTTAAATTTACCTATGGCTGTTTTTATCCTGTAATTATAATAACTATATGAACTGCAAAAACCTAAGAAACTTATTATCTGGTCATTGGAAGGAAAAAAAAGTTCCTGATCCCTGATTTATTGTACGTCCCTTCTCTAGTTATCATTTTAGTTCTCCTAGTTAAATTATATTTGACTGTGCTGGCTTCTTCACTTTCTGTTCCTTAATTATAGATTCAGAAAAGCCAAGGTTTGAACTTTGGTTTTCTGCTGTTTCCTGTACATTAAATACTATTAAATACATCTGACAGTTTATCCATTCTGTTTACTTAATTACCATGATAATCACATGATAGCCAGACAGTAGTCCCTGGCCTTGACATTCACTAAGCCGTCTTTCTTTCACCTCATTCCAGAAAAAATGTTGAATGGGCAATTTCAAACTAGTATATAATACAGAACAAAAAGAGTACTATAAAAAGGAAGTACTAAAGGTGATTCAAAATTAAACAGAAAAGTAAATCAAAGACAAGGTGTAATACTTGCACCCATGGACACAGACAGACAGATAAAGGCAGACATAAGGTTTGCTTTAAATTATGGAAGCTTAGAAAAACAAACAGTTCTATAAAATAATAGATTGGATTAAAAAATATGTCTATAATAAAAACCATTTCTAAGTCCATATGCAGGACATAAAAATAGTTGATATGTAAAATACTGTCTTTTAGGAAAAAATTTAAAATACATATTTAAATAAGTGAGAAGTGGCATACTTAGGAGAACTAAGGCAGTGAGAGTAATCAGGCATGAACAGGCCAAGGTTCTCTCAGATATAAAGAGAGAAAACATCTGATTCTTTCCGTAATTCTGATTATGGATGTTTTGTGCCTTTACACAGCTGTAAATGAACACACACTGGCATTGGTACAGTGAAGCCCAAACACTCAACTGGGGCACTGTATTTGGCAGCACTGTGGATTTTCCCAGAGAGCTACACAGACTCTTGCAGGAAGAAGGTGCTAGACGGAAAAGTATGTTGAGACACAAGGGAGAGAGAGGGTTTCATGTTTTGATGATTAGGAATATTCCAACCGTTTAGGTGGAAATTGTGTGGAATTCCTACAGATGGGCTCTTGTTGTCATGGGCATTGCTTAGTAGGCATAAGCTGATGCATGTAATTACTCATGGTTTCACTTCCGTGCTTCTCTACCAATTAGAGTATGGAGCCTGCAAACAATTCCCTCTGCTGCTGTGATTGTGCTTGGATTGTGATAGTTTTCTCATAGCTGCCAATTTAGCTATTTGTTGGCATCAACTCTGCTCCTGGTTCCTTAATGTCACAAAGACTGCAAAAAAGCTGCCTCCTGAGAAAAAGAAAAGGTACCCAGCACAA